GGCTAATTTTTTGATTTATTGTAGAGATGAGGTCTCGCCAAGTTGTCCAGGCGGGTCTCAAACCTACGGGCTCAGGCAATCCACTCACCTCAGCCTCCCAAAGTGCGGGATTACAGGCTACTATTTTTTTTTACTCTCATGTATATTGTATTATCTTTTGGATTGTTTTGTTTGTTCTATTTTTCATTACTCTTCCTACCTACTATAAGTTACAGTTACTGCATATCTTATAGAATTTTGCCTCCATTTTTTGAAAATTCAAATAAATCATATGCTGCTTTTTTTTTTAAATAGGATTTTGTACAGGAAATGGAAATGTTTCAATGAAATTTGTGCACTTTACTTGCCATTTAACCATACTTTGATATCTTTTCCTTTCAATATAAGTCTAGTAATTGTTAATAGGGGATAAAGTACCTCTAAAACTAGAGAATGTACTTAGGTCTAGTAATGTTCTAATTTTAGGATTTAAGGATTTTTTTGTCTTTTAACAGTGAGACGATAATCAGTATAATCTTTTTAACGGCATTTAGTATTTATTAATGTGAAATACCAACAGTTCCACCTCAGTGAATTGTCCCTATAGAAATGCTTACCTGGGTGGGCAAAGGTAGATCCATGAAGATGTTCATGGTTTTGCAAAAACCGAAAACAACTCAAATGTATCAGAAACAGAGTACTTGATAAGTAAATTCCATAGATTGGAATTTGAGATAGCTAAATTGTCTCACTTAATCCTCATGTCAGTTTTTTTTTTTTTTTTCTTTTGAGTTAGTCTCACTCTCGCTCAGCCTGGAGTGCAGTGTCACACTCATGGCCACCACAGCCTCGAGCTGCTGGGCTCAGGCGATCCTTCCACCTCAGCCTTCAAAGTAGCTGAAACTACAGGTGCGCGTCATCACACCTGGCTAATTTTTTTATTTTTTGACAAGGTCTCGCCAAGTTACCCAGGTTGGTCTTGAATCCGTAGGCTCAGGCAGTCCTCTTGCCTTGGCCTCCAAAAGTGCTGGGATTACAGGCTTGAGCCACCATGCCTGGCCTATGTCAGTCTTTGAAATCAACGTACTCTTTTTTTTTTTTTTTTAATCAACTTTTTCTTAATTCTGCTGAAACGGAGGTTTTTTTTTTTTTGGTTTCTTTGCCAAGAAATCCTTTTCCTGTCTCCAACTGCAAATGCCTGCAGATCAGCTATATGTCCCTATGTAGAAAATTTGCTTTTGTCAAGTTATATTAAATTGAAATAACACAGTATGTGTACTTTTTTCCTGAATTTTCTTCAATGATACTAATGTTTTAACAATTAACACTGTTGCATGAGTCATTTATTTTAAATTGTTGAATAATATTTCATTGTGTAAATTTTGTACACTTAGTTTATTCAGTATCTGTTAGATTGTTTGCAATATTCAGCTCCTATAAATAAAGTGTCTGGAAACAATCAAATAAAAGTTTTATTTGAAAATAACTAGTTAGTTCTCCTGGATACATACCTAGTAGATGAGTCTTCCAATCAATTAACAAAGTATATCTATTTGTGAAACTGAGATTTAAAGAGGTTAAATAACTTGCCCAATGTGTAACTACAAAAGAGTGCATCATTCAGGCCTGTGTGACTCCAGAACTCTCTTCACTTGTTTGAGGCAAACTTTTTAAAGGTTTATAGTGACCTCAGTGTCACTAGACTTTACCTGATTTTGCTCATATGTAAAATAAAGGTAAATCTAGACTTGAACTCTCAGATGTCTTTCAGCTCTAACATTTGTTGCTTTTTTATAGTACCTACAAAGTACCCAGTCTCTTGCAGGTGCTCAATAAATATTAGTTGGATAAATGGTAATGCTTATAGTTCTTGGTGTCTTAGAATTCAGGGCTAGCTTTGGATCTAAGGGCATTTGCATTATTCCCTATCCCCCTTCTTCTCAAATCGAATATAAAGTTCACAACCTCTGTTGTCTGTGTCAATTAGTGCAAACATACATTTAGAGTCAGAATTCATGCTGCTTGTGGTAAGTCATATGTATGCTGACTTGAAAGCTGATGAAACAACAGCTACATTGCACTTTTTGATGAATATGACACAAGAGCAAATACCATACTTGAGGTTGTCTTTGTGTCAGCTCTTAGTGAACTGGCTAGTATACTCAGCACCTAAGAGCTTACTTTCAGAGTTGCACATGCCTTAGCATCTAGTGGATAATACTAGTGCCTACTGGACAAGGAGAAAAACCTTGGTGTTAGGAGAATTTTTAACAAAATGTGAGGCAGAGACTGTTATATTAAGGGTGAAACCATAATGTTTAGCCTATCTGACAAAGTTACGCAATTTGTCTTGTTCCTGTTCAAGTAAGACACATAGTCACTCAAGTCATGTGCTTGTGCCATGGCTACAGTATCAGTTGAGTTCTTGGGAATGAGAGTAGGAGGAGCTTCATCTCTTCAACTATATAATATGCAGGCATAGTTACACATTATTCAAGATAATTATAGTGGAAGCCTGTTTTTAACTTGGTGATGGAAAGTGTCTGGGAGTCAGAATTACTTTTTATCATCAGTTTGCCATAGCGTGAAATACATTCGCTATAAGGATACATGAAGGGAAAAAGGCATTGATAGAGAATTATGATTAACAATATTCATAGCTTGGTCATAGACTTCCTAAGGTGATAAGTTCTTTACTTTTATGAACTTCGTCATCAGAGATTTAAATTAAACCCTAAACTTCAATATGTAGAATAGGTCATGAGGGAGATAATGACAAGAATATGTTAATGTATTTAGATAAGTCATCACCACTAATTAGATACTCTTACTTATTCATGACAGATATAGCATTATCTTTCACTTTAAATACATTTGCAAAGTGCCTTTTGACATTATTGAAAATCCCAAACTAGACTTCAGAGTGAGAGAGAACTGCCACTTAAAATAAATCTGATAGTTTTTGTGCTGTCCCTAATTACTCCTTCTGTGGTTAAAATATTTTAAAATTTGGCAAAGAATTAAATGATATGACAACTTGGATAATTAAATGTGTTCTTATAATTTAATTGGTATGCTCAATAGTAATTAAGTCCTGTTTGGTACCTCCATTTATACTAAACCAGAGGCAAGGGACTTAATTTAATGATTGTGCTAAAATCTTTTTCATTTTACTCATGTTTAGCTGGATCCGGAACGAAGTTTATTTGACCAAGGAGTAAAGACAGATGGAACTGTACAGCTTAGTGTACAGGTAATTTCTTACCAAGGTAAGCTACTTTTAGTGATAATTATTTAAAAGGCTAGCTCATGTTTTTCTGTTGTGATAACTCAGTTTTTTAAGTTTTAGGTGTTTTAGATGGCTGTCTAAATGACGTAATGTAATGTTATAGCCAGAATTCATGATTTGGTTTAGTTATTGTGTCTGACAGGATGAAGCAGTATAACATATTCTACTTAGTTTAATGAAAAAGGGATATATTATACAGTAGTAAATAGCAGAATCACCGAGAGAGCTGGAAGATAGGTTCTAGCTGATTTCTTAAGAATGTCTCAGCCATACTGCGTAACTGGACTGTCCAGAAGTTACTGCTCTGCCATGATCTGGACAACACCACACCTGGAAGCTGCTGTTGTAGCTTTCAACCTGGAACCATGCTGCCTTTACAGTGATCCCTCCTCTTCACTTATTTCCAAATAGAAGTCTTTTGTCAATGATTCAAGAGCCTGAATTACATCTGGAACCATAGCTGAAAGGAAATCTAGTCTCTAGATTTAGCAAGAGAGAGCAATTTGCAAGGGATGTGGAGTCATCCCATCTGCCGTATCCATCACAGTGTTTTATCAAACTTGTGTAAGTACACAAGTTAGAAAAGGAAATTAGGAAGCCATTTTTGGTAGACGTGAGTTTTGGTTTGTTAAAATGTGGCTTTTCGGGATTCCTAATAAGAGTTTTAGAATGACATAGTCTCTGAACATACTATATTGCTCACAACTGTGTTTCACAGCCAAAGTTTTCTTCAGATTTTGAAAATGGTGGTTCCCTACTTCTGATCCTTAATTCCCACAGGATTGATTATTGTTGGGAATGGGAAAGAAATTAATTGTTTTTAGCTTTAAAAACCTACTGATCTCTCAGTGCAAGTGTGTTTAAGAAGACCTTACTTGAAGCCATGAAGTATGGAATTTGGATGAAGGATTAAAGGATAGATCTTCATTTTTTAAAATTCTGATTATTCTTATCATGTACATTTGGATAAGTGATTCTCTTTATATAACCTATTGAATGATAGTAGTACATTTTCTTGTAATACTGCTTTTCACAAGAAATTGAAGTTTGGCCTTTTTTCCAAATGAGCTTTGATTGAATTTTGTTATAGATTGGAATAGATTCAGTAATCAATAGTAGCTGTTATGTAATGTGATAGTTTCTTAGAGCTGCATTTTAGCATAAGTGAGGCTATTTTATAAAGGGTTAATTCTATTTTGAATAGATAAATTCAGTATATCTGTTATATCTTAGAGAGTTGTGTAGACTTGACTAAAGATCTGCTTTTATGGCATAATTTTTTAGCTTAATTACAATTTTTAAAACACAGATTTAAATGTTTTGATTCTGGATGAATAGGCATTGAGGAGTCTCTATTAGTAAATAATGTACCTTATCTTCATTTTATCTTTTCCATAATTCTTATCGTTCATTAACACTAGGGTTTTCATATCATCAGGGTTTGAGCTTTTCTTCATTCAGCTGAAAATGAAAATCAGAATTTAACATGTGAATTTAACTTAACAAACTTGGCATCATTTTCAACACATCTACTTTGTCCTTTAAATGAAAAGCTTAGTCAGCAAATAATTTTAAATTGCTTATCAGGAGTTTTTGAAATCCTGAGGATGGGTAGCTACTCACTTATACTCTCCCTAGTCTAGTTTTTATTTCGTTTTATAGTGGTGACTTTATTTATTTTGTTGTGGTAAGAACTGGTCCTTTTTTTTTTTCCTATTGGTATTTATAGGTAGGGTTTGTGTGTGTGTTATTAAGAATTATTTTAGACTTGTGGAATAGTTGCAGGACAAGTAAAATAATTTCTGGATATCCTTCACTTAGACTCCCTAAATGTTAACTTTTCTTACATTTGTTTTATTCTCTCCCCCCTCACACACATATTTTTTTTTAACTGTTTATGGATAAGTTGCAGACTAGATCTCCTTTTGTTCCTAACTATATCAGTGTGTATGTATCCCTAAAAACAAGGATTTTTAATATGACACAGTATAATTATTAAAATCAGGAGATTAATATTGACATAATACTGTTACTACAAAAATTCTATTGAATTGTTGTATTGTTAATTGGGGATCTGTTAAATTATTTGCATATATTGCTAAAAATACTTAAGATGTAGTTTTTCTTTACCATTCAGGAACATACAAATTAGACTAAATTTGTTTATTTATTTTTTGGTGACTTTGTGCTTTCATTTAGATTTATAATTTTTTTTAATCCGTTCTTAAGGAATTGAGCCAAAGCTAAACATTCTTGAAATTGTTAAACCTGCGGACACTGTTGAAGTAGTTATTGATCCAGATGCCCACCATGCTGAATCAGAAGCACATCTCGTTGAGGAAGCTCAAGTCATAACTCTTGATGGCACAAAGCACATCACAACCATTTCAGATGAAACCTCAGAACAAGTGACAAGATGGGCTGCCGCACTGGAAGGTTATAGGAAAGAACAAGAACGCCTTGGGATACCCTATGGTAATAAAATACATAATTATATGTTAGGTAGACTAATAAGAATTAAGCTTGACATAGAAGACACTAGGGTGACTAAGTTATAATCTATTTTAAATGCAGAATTTTTAGAAAGAATGTTGCTTCTCTGTCTCTCTCTCTGTCTCTCTCTCTCTCTCTCTCTCTCTCTCTCTCTCTTTCTCTTTCTCTCCCTCTCTCCCTCTCGCCTTTCCCCCCCCTTTCTCTCTCTAACTGTAACGTACGTTTATGCCCATATGATGGACAAATACTGTCCTGGGTGTGCTGGAAATACAAAGAAGTATAAACAAATTTCTGCTCTTAGGATGGTCACAGTGTAGTTGAAGAGAATGAACATATGTGAAAAGGGATAATTGCCATAAAATTATAACATTTTTAAGCTGTCAATAACTCATGTAGAAGAAGCATGCTGTTGGAATTTCAAAGGGATCATAGTGGCCTAGGGGAAAACAGGAAGAGTTTATTATAGACAAGAAACTTGTGCAGAGAAGGACATTGCAGACAAGAAATGTTATATGCAAAGCTCAGATGTGAGGATATGCATGAGTAGTGAGTAATGAAACTATTTAGTGGCTAAGCAGTTAACTCTGTAGTATTGCAGAACTGTTTTTTGATTGAGAATATGGCAGTGGTGTACGGCATTAGTTGGAGTAGGTAGAGACTAGGTGAAGGGAGAACAGGAGAATGTTGCTATAGTTGTAACTAGATAATGATGTCTTGAGAAGCCCAGACTAGGTGATTTCTTTGGGAGTAGAGAGGAAGAAGTGGATGAAAACAGTGATAGGACTGAGCAGATTAACAAATTGCGTTAAGGTACACAGGGAAGCTTCAAGTATTGATCTGACTTTTCAAGCTTGATCTTTTTTACTAAAGCAGTAATAATCTTGATACAAATTGGTCGAATCTTTATTTCCTGTTTAGTGAACACTACCATATATATGCCAGGCACTGTGTTAAATGCTGGGCTTATGTTGATGCACAAGAAGGAGCATGCCTTCAAAAGCGTAGTGGAGAAGCAGGGGAGTCTGGAATAGGAAAGAATTTTCAAGGGTAAGGGTTGATAATGCTTGACTTTGAAGTAACAGTACACACTCAGCTGAAGACAGACAAAAAGTGGTTTCAGGTACACATGATTTGGACTGGAGATAAAGATGTCTTATGGGACTCACTCATTCACATTGAATTTGTGTTTGAAGCCTTAAAAGTATATGTAGGCCTGGGTGCTGTGGCTCAAGCCTGTAATCCCAGTACTTTGGGAGGCCAAGGTGAGAGGACTGCCTGAGCCTGCAGCTCAAGACCAGCCTGGGCAACATGGTGAGACTTTGTATCTATAATAAAAATCAAAAAATTAGCCGGGTGTGGTAGCGTGTGCCTGTAGTTACAGCTACTTGGAAGGCTGAGGCAGAAGGATCACTGGAACCTAGCAGGTTGACGCTGAGGTGACTGTGAGCATGCCACTGTACTCCGACTCAAAAAAAAAAGTATATGTCGTCTCTGATGGAGAACAAGAAATGGAAAAGAGCATACATTAGACACTGTTTCTTACATCCTGCAAACATTTATGGTTGGAGAAAAGGAAGGTAGACAAGTAACAGCTGACAAGGGCCAGGCATAGTAGCTCACGCATATAATCTCATTACTTTAAGAGGCCAAGGTGAAACAATTGCCTAAGCTCAGGAGTTGCAGACCAGCCTAGGCAACAACCTTATCTCTACAATGAATTTAAAAATTAGCTGGTCGTGGTGGTGCTATAGTCCCAACTAATTGGAAGGCTGAGGCAGCAGGTCAAGGCTGTGGTAACCAAGATCATGCCACTGCATTCCATCCTGAGTGACAGAGTAAAACTCTGACACAAACACACACAAATAACTGAAGAGGTAAAAAGAAAATAAGAGTTTATGTGTACACATATAGTCACTGAAATTGAGGGAAGAGTTGGATGGTCAAGACTAACATGATGCTGAGAAAACTAATTTTTATTAAATTTGGTAATCAGTGGGTCATTAATAAATTGAAGCAACAGTATTGTAGAGTTGGTGAGATAAAGCAGAATTTTAAGAAATAGACATCTGAGAAATGGAGAAAATTGAATATAAACCTTTTGGGGGCAGATGTGGAAGGGTGCTCAAGGAACAAATAATTAATATTGACGGTTCAAGAGTTAGTGATGACTTGAGTGTATTTGTAGATGAAATTGTATTGTTTATTAGATTTTAATTGAAGCATAACAAGATAATAGAGTCCAGTTCAAAGGATGAACTATAGCCATTCTTCAGGGATATAAGAGAAAAAAGATAGGATGGTTAAAAGTATTAAGTTGTTTATTTTTGACATGTGGAATATATAGTGTGAACCTTTGTATTTGTAAGTTGGGAGTCATCTCTTGAAAGGGGAAATACTGAGAAGGAAAGAGGGAAGCATAAAAAGTTGGAAGCAGTGTTTTATATAGTTTGCAGTACTTTCAACAAGAACTCTTCAGTAGTAGAATCTTCTGTGGAAAGTAGTATATAAATGAATTGTAGACAGAACAAGATTATAAACTCGGACTGACTCCAAGTGCTATTTACTTAGAAGAAAGTAAGATTTACTGAGATACAGAGGATGTTTTAAAAAATCGTTTGATTTTCGTTATGAAACTGTTAACCTACTAGAAAGTTGTCGAAATGATTTATATTTTCTTAGGAAGCTATTGTTTCAGGTTTGTACTTCTGTACCTTAGGGTAGTTCCTTTGCTAATTTCTTAATTCTCTGCAAAAGACTGAGGCAGAAGGATCACCGGAACCCAGCAGATCGAGGCTGCGGTGGCCGGGAGCGTGCCACTGCACTCCAGTCTGGGCGACAGAGTGAGACTCCAACTCAAAAAAAAAAAAACCTTTGAAATTTTGATCCACATTGGGATATATACATGCATTTTTTTTCTTAAGTATTTCATGTTAACAACTGGAGATGAAACTTAAATTAATAGATGTATAGTATTTAGAAGTCTAGCTAAAGAGATGGGTTGTAAGATACTATTAAAACTCAATAAAAGTAATATCAAAATAACAAAATTATATATTAATCCCAGTAACTTTGGATGCTAAAGCCAGGAGTTCGAGATCAGCCTGGGTAACACAGTGAGACCTTGTCTCTAAAAAAAAAAAAAAAATGTTTAAACTTAGGTGTGGTGGTGCATGCTTGTAGTCCTAACAGGACTCCTGGACTGATCGATGTTTTTCCTCTTCTGTTTGTCATCTCATCTACTTTTACTACTTTCTGCCAAATTTTCTTGTCTTAACAGTATAACTTGCCTGATTTTTAATTTTAATCTACAAGGGCTCTTTATTTTTGTTTGTTTCTTTCCAAAGCATTCTGATCTTATATTATGGATATCATGCTTTCTTTTACCTCTCTGAGTATGTTGATAACTGTGGGCTTTTTTAGTCTCTCTCAAACGTTTGATTATTCTAGTCCATCTGTTCACATTTGTATGAATAACTTGCCTAGACACAGTGGCTCATGCCTATAAATCCCAGCACTTTGGAAGACTGAGGTGGGAGGATCACTTGAAGCCAGGAGTTTGAGACCATTCTGGACAACAGAGCAAGACCCTATCTCTCCGCTCACCCCTAAAGAAAGAATAACTTAAGCTAATTAGTGTGAAGTTCTGAAGTATTTGTTAGCTATATGCCAGTAAAATGAGGAATTGGTTTTTTTACTTAAAATTTTTCTAATGAATCAGTATATATAGATGTTTTTGCTAGGAATCTTTAACTTCTGTGGAGACTTGGCCATGTGTGTCAGGAGTAGAAGATTGGGTGCATTTGGGATTGATGTGTATGTTAATGCTGCATTCTTGAAGTGGTAAGGGAAATGGAGCAGGGAGGATGTAGAAAGGGTCTCATTCTTCAGTTTGTAGATTTTTATTACTGGGATGAAGGAGAGGCCCTTGACATTCTACCCACACCATATACTTTAATTGAAACCCATCATTTTCAGCTTTAAGTCTCTGCTACTACCTGGAACCACCATGACCTAAACCAATAAATGGGGTTCTGTAGGCAGGAATTCTCTAACTTCTTACTGGTATCCTCCTTGACAAACATTTTAGATCATAGCCTTCCCCTACTCTGTTAAATTGATTACCACTCTGCTTATTGTCTTCAAAATATTAGTTGAAATCTGCCATCCATGTCTTTCACTTTGTACTCGTGTTCCCTTGGTTTTACATCTTTTAAAAATTCCTCACAGCCATAAACAAAAACAAAATAATGTCCTTTGCTGCAACATGAATGCAGTTGGAGATCATCATTCTATGTGAACTATCACAAAAACAAAAGACTGAATACTGCATGTTCTCAGTCATAAGTGGGCCCTGAACATTGGGCACACGGATACAAAGGCAGGAGCAACTGACACTGGGCACTGCTAATGGGAGGAGGAAAGGAGGAGGGATAAAGGACACACAATCACTCATGGGGTCACCATGTCCACTCCCAGGGGGACAAAGGTCTGTCTAAAAGCCCAAAACTCACCACCACGCAATTTACTTAAGTAGCAGATCCTCATATATATCCCACAACTCCAAAATAAAAATAAAAATTTTAAATTTCTTTACTGTTATTTTACTGCAGACTTAGAGAAAAGAGGTTGAGCAGGCATGGCCAATTAGTTTTGCTAAACCGGAAGTCCAGATATTAATATCTGAGAAGACAAATCAGACTAGGTATATTTTTCCCTAACTTTAAACATCTTGATACTTTTATGTTTGTTTTTGTGTGAAAGGATCTTGTAAAGGGTGGATAGTTCAGGATAGTTTTTCTTTTTTTGTTGGTTTTTTTTTGTTTGAGTTGGAGTCTCACTCAGTCGCCCAGACTGGAGTGCAGTGGCCGCTTCCGCACCTGCTGGGCTCCAGCGATCCTTCCGCCTCAGCCTTCCATGTAGCCGGAATTACAGGCATGCGCTACCACGCCCGGCTGATTTTTTGATTTATTGTAGAGATGAGGTTTCGCTGCCCAGGCGGGTCTCAAACCCGTGGGCTCAGGCAATCCACTCACCTCAGCCTCCCAAAGGCGCAGGATTACAGGCTGAGCCACCGAGCCCGGTTTAGGATAGTTTTTCTAACTTAACAAAACCCTCTCTTCTGTTGTTTTCAGGTGATAAAGTAATAAAAAATGGGACAGCCTGCTTTCCCAGTTCCTGTCTACTTTTATCTGGGCCTTCTCTTTCTTTGATTTGGGGTCCTGTGCCACTCACTCTTGATTCTACCCTGCCAGTTTTTCCTTACTGGGGGCTGCTCTCCTGGAAATGGATCTTGGCTCAGTTTGAAAAACTCCTAGGTGTTATACAGCACCAACCCATTAACCCTTAGCATGGACCCTTGCTGTTGGATTGAGCAAACTACTTTTTAGTTGTTGCTTTCATCTTGGCTTGTTGTGCTTTCAGTGTGTGCTTCTTGACTGTGTTCAATTTTTCCTGTGCTCAAAATGGGTCAAGTGTCCCTTTGTGTTCTCTTGCACTCACACTAAGACCATGAAGCTCTTGTTGCTCTTGTCTGACATGTTGTTTTGTTATTGCTTTGTCTGACCTCCTTGTATTCTGAGGTCCATGGGGGATATCTTATCATCTGGTTTGATTGTAAATGTCCATGGGCTTGGGATTTTGGTTTTGCTCTCTAGTTGTCTTCTCTTTCTTTCTTTCTTTCTTTTTTTTGGAGTCTCTCTTTGTCGCCTAGGCTGGAATTCAGTGGCACAATCAACAGCTCTCTGCAGCCTCGACCTGAGCTCAAGCAATCCTTCTACCTTGGTTCCCAAATAGCTAGGACTACAGGCACATGCCACCATGCCTGGCTAAGTAAATATATATATATACATATATATTTTTTCGAGATGAGGTCTTGTTATGTTTCCTAGACTGGCCTCAAACTCTTGGACTCAAGCAGTCCTTCTGCCTCAGCCTTCCAAAGTGCTGGAATTACAGAGGTGTGAACCACTGTACCTGGCTGCTTTTTCTGTTTTTATGTGTACATTCAGAGAAATTTTAAAACTTCGCCACCATCTTAGATTCTTCATCCCTGAACTTCTTTGTGAAAAAAAATTTTTTAAGTATTCTGTAACTATCAATCCTATATTCTTATGTTTGATTAATTTTCACTATAAATTGGCCCTTAATAAGTATTTAAGTTATTTTTTCTACCTTATTGACTAGCACTCATTTATTGGGTGTATATAATTACTACTTTTTGAATAGATCATCTTCTTAAAGCAGGAATACCAGTACCAAAATTAATTGACTAGTATTTAGTAAACTTACAGGCAGAATGCTGTTAAGTGTCAGTGGTATAGTCATTACTGTTTATACATGTTGGCTATCTTTTATTTGTGAATTCAATTAGGTAGTAAGATATGATAGAAAAAAGGAAATTATTTAGATATGCTTTTTATAGATTCAACAAATGTGTGTGCAAAGCACTGTGGTAGATTCTGAAGATAGAATGATTTACAAGACCCAGTTCTTGTGTTTAAGATCATACTGTCTTGTGAGGGGCAACTGAGTAAAACAGGGAATTAACATATTTATATATTTTTTTGGAAGTGCCACCATAGGGTAAATGCACAAGTATCCAGCTTTTCACAGGAAGGAAAAAGGAGGAAGGAGTACATTGTTAATGTTTTGGAGAGTAAGGCTAGCTCCCTTACAATTTTTTTTTCAGTGTAACCACAAAATAATTTTTAAACTTAGATAATTTACTTCATTTTCTCCAGAATAACCACCTATTTTATTCTTTCCTTTGGCCCACTGGAGAGCAGTCTTGCAGTTTGTTTTTCTTGGTAAAATTCTAGACAAAGGTTGACTCCTTCAGAAATTTAGATTAAGAAATTGAAAAGGAGCTGAGAAGAAAATATAGCATAAACATTCTTTACTTCATATAATTTACTTTGCTTAAGGGAAAACACTCTGTGTGTGTGTGTGTGTTGACAAGTTAACTGTAAATTCATAAATATCCAAGATGTAACTAAGCTAAAGGTAATATTTTTCTGTCTAGATCCCATACAATGGTCCACAGACCAAGTCCTGCATTGGGTTGTGTGGGTGATGAAGGAATTCAGCATGACGGATATAGACCTCACCACACTCAACATTTCGGGAAGAGAATTATGTAGTCTCAGCCAAGAAGATTTTTTTCAGCGTGTCCCTCGGGGAGAAATTCTCTGGAGTCATCTGGAGCTTCTAAGAAAATGTATAAAATTACAGTTATTATTTTTTTACTTTGTAACTTAATCTTAGTTTTATTTCTTTATAACTTTATATTTGTCTTAGTTGTTCATTGATAATGCTAAACAATTAATAAGCAAATAATTGTTAAGCCATAATAACATTTCTTAACCGTATAAGGCTGTGCTGAGAGTTCTATGTGTATTATTCATTTAATTCCTATAATAATGCCACAGGTCATTACTTTCCTTATTTTTTAGATAGGAAAGGGAGGATTTGAAAGCCCCACAAGGCCACATCTAGGGAGTGGCAGAGCCAGGATTCAAACCTAGGCTAATGTTAGAATCAAAGTTCTTAAATCAGATGCTGTGCCCTACACTTCGCCCTCTTCATATATTCAAGTCATACCTTCTGTTTCATCAGTCATTTCTTCCATTTGCAGCTCATTGTCTAGAAATTTAACATTGTTTGTTCATAGGTGGCTTCCCTCCCATTCTCTTCATTATTAGTGGGGTAAATCTTTTTAAATGTCTTTACTATTAATTGGATAGGATCTTGAAAGAGAAAGAAGTGTAAGTATGCAACCACCTTCTTGAATTGGAAGTCACTTTTTATAAGTGTTTCTACTTAAGACATAAGGCTTCATAGACGTTATTACTGTGATTAAGTGACTGTATGAAGAAATCAGAAACTGCCTGAAAAAAAGGAGCTCAAATAAATGTAAATTATTTTAATCTACCTTGTGTCTTAGTGTCTATTGAGACATCTTAGCTGCAGCCCATTTCCTGACAGTTCTATCAGAAATGCTGGCCAGACCCACATATTTTTCAGAATGCTCTAATACGTCAAAATTGAACACTGCTTTTGTAACATTTATGGATGAAAATTACCGGTAGTATTTTGTTTTATGTGCCAAATAAGGGGAAAGCTCTGGTATAGTGATTTTTCTATAGTAATTGAATACTTACAGTTTTCATCGAAGGTGCTTTCTATATTATTGTATAGGAAATGAGCTCTGGAGTGAGGCCTTTCTTCATTGTTTATGTCTAAAATTTTACTCTTGTATGGATTTGCTTAGATTTTTTTTAAGTATCTATAACAGCAGAAAACTTACTATATTTGTTGCATTTATAGTGTTTATTTCCAGTTTCAGTTTTTATTAGATAAATAAATTGAGTGTCCTGGTTGAAGGTTTGTTCTTGGTTTCACACATTTTCTCTGCAAAGGTTTTCAGATGAATAAGGTAAATTCTGAATTGTTTCAGGTTCTTAATATGTGTCATGTTTATTGAAACATTTTCTTTAGGAATTCTCAAGAATTTAACAAGGATAGTACTTAGCCTATAGCTTCGTTTTTCCCAAGATCAGGGTTTTTCCAGTTTTTCCCAGGTCAGCTCTTTGTTATGTTGTCTCTAGATGAGTGTCTCACAAATTCTTTCTCCAGCCATGGTTCTTCACTCTACCCTGGCAGGGAAATCCCATTTGGTTTGGGAATCTAATACTCAGTTTAGAATTGAAATGGACAGGATGATGTATAAGGATATTTCTGGCAGACTTTTCTGTAATTCACAATTCTCACTTCTCTCTGGTCTCCTATAGGGAGGAATCTGCAGCTTATCTCTAAAAGGCAGTGATTTTGGGGACAGAACTGTTATTAATCTAGCCTTTGTTATCTCTTCATCCTCAATGATCTCAAGGAGGAGCAGTACTGAAGAGGTAGAGCTCCTTCTTCAGATATTTGAATTAGCTTATTCATAGGCCGCCACCACCTGCCTGCAGTTCCTCTTATGTTGAACCTCCATCCAACTCCTACCATATACGGGGAGGATAATTAGGAAATGTTTCAGTACTGCCAGTTTCATGATGTGCTTCTTGATGTGAATGTCTGTCTTCTATCACCAAAGGCAAAGGAAGGTCTCTGCTGAGGATTTTCATTAGGAAAAATAATTGCTTTATACCTTTAGTCTAATGTTTCTTCATAAAATGACTTGATATCCCCCAGGGCTTTGCCTTTTAGGACTCTGTTTTCTTTGTGCATGGCAAGGATTTCAGGGATTCAGGAGTAATATTATATTCAGAAATGATCTTGGAGCAAGCTTTCAAAACCCTTCTCTGTGTTTTGCCTTCTGGCTTGAAAGGGAAACAGAGAACAAACCAAAGTCTAGTCAGAATTTAAAAGGTGGTTTTACAAGTTGGTCATGCTTGTGCTGTGTGATTGTGTTGTTCTCTTTGCCTCTTTTGAGTGTAGGGCACCTTTGTTTATTTAGTCTCAAATGGAGCAGTTTCTATTTCAATAGCACTTTGCCTTCTTGAGGAACTTTTAAAGTATTATGTGGGAAAATCTACCACAAAAATAAAGTATGAATGTCTTATCAAGAGAGACAGCAGTTCTGGAGGAGAATGCTCAGAACTAAGAGTCTGGATAAAACAGTAACATCTTCAGTTTACTGAAAACATCACTATTTCAGGCACTGTGCATCTTAAAAACATTTTTATTTAATCATCACAATAACCTCATGAGGTGGGTAGGTGTAAGTATCTCTTTTAAACATGAGGACATTAATGTTCAAAGAGGTTGAATAATTTTACCAAAGTCACATAGTCAGTAAATAAGAGCTAAGATCTGAACCCAAATCTAGGGTCTGAAATTAGTCCCTTATAATTGTTTAAGCCTTCAAACTTAGCACCCCAAAGAATGTGCTGATCTCATGGTAGGATTCAGACTGCCTTGTACTTCCCTAGCCTTTTCCAGCTTATGTGTCTGGACCTGCATCTTGGCTAAGCACTCTCATTAGAGTCTTCTTGGGATCCCAGGTCTTGGGAATTACTCAGTGCCCAGAACAACTACTGGAGGGTACAATTTCAGTTTTAAGAGAGAAGCATGCAGCTTATGATGGGCACTAAATATAATGAAGTAATGGAGACTGGAGTGTGCAATTCTTGTTTGAGAGGTAAAGAATAACATTTAAGTAGAGGATAGCAAAAGGAGTAATGAAAGGTCTGTAAAAACTTGTGTTAGGACCTTTTTAAATATAATTTTTATGTTCAGAGCTGTATTTGTAAACATGTTAAATTATTTAGTTTTGGCATTTAGGACCCCTACAATTTAATTGAAAATTTAGATATCTTTAAGTAGAAGCATTATACATTTAAAGCAGTTCTATCAAAAGTGGATATTATAACAGATCATGAGAAGGAGGCCTTTTTGGTAGCGAATGTATATCTAAATAGTTTAAATTTGGTATATACTTTATCTTTGATCTGATCTTGAAGAGTTCCATATTTTAAAATAGATAGGTAAATAGATTTAGATACAGATATTTATGTTTATAAAGCCATAGTTCTCTAAATAACTTCAGAATACTAAAATTAGAGCTTTCCCTGTGTTATTTCTCTTAAAGATATCTTTTCCTTATAAAGTGACTATTAAGTATTTTTTAGGTTTTTATGCCAGTGAGTTTCAGTTGTTTAATGTTTTGCTTTTTTATTTGGTTGGTTGATTTTGGTTTTAGTTGTGGAATTCCCTTTAAAAGAATCATATTTATTAAGTTGAGCTTTACTGGATTGGGGTTTGTATTTTTGGCTTTAAATGAAAACAAAAAATATTTTGTGTGTTCTTCAGATGTACTGGCAAGCCAAGAACAACAGATGAATGAAATAGTTACAATTGATCAACGTGAGTATTCATGCCCATAATATGTGCCTGTTTATCAAAAAGAAATGTTTACTTGACAGTACAAGGTAGTAAAAAGGAAACTTTTAAAAAAATTTTGGTGACATATATGAGATATACAAAGAAAGTATAACTAACACCTGTGTATACCTTGAGAAATATAATTTTATATTTCAGATTTATCAGTTGTAGATCCCATTTTTGTTCCCAACCAGAGAAATGACTATCTGAATTTGATGTTTATTATTTGCATATTTTATAGTTTTACCAACTATGTAACCATAAACACTGCGTAGTATTGTTTTGCACATGTTTAAACATTTTGGGCAAAATGGTTATATATATTGTACATAACCTTTTACAACTTTTTTGCTTGGCATTTATGAGACTTACTCATCTTGATACTTGCAGCTCAATTTCATTGATTTTTCACCTTTGTGTAGTGTTAAAAAATGCTGTGGACATCATTGAGTTTGTATTTGTAAGAACATGTATGAAATTTCAGTATGGTAGGGTTTCTACCTCTTCAGTCTTATGCTAGTGTTTGCCAGACTTTTTCTCAAAGTCGTGGTATGAGTTTGTCATGTCATTAGTAGTAGAATGTTAGTTCTCATTTGTCCACATTTTCTCCAACATCTGATAAACCACTTTTATGAAGAAATATTTTAAAAAACAAATGTCTTAATACTTTGTAATGCGTGCATCACTAATTTATCATTTTGAAACAAGGATACCAACTCTTATTCACTAGGTTAAGATTCAGAAAATTCAATTGGTGCTTTTAAGTGTCTAAGAAGGATATATAGAAATATGGAATTAGGTCTGTTTTGGAAGAGTGTAGTGAAGTAGTTCTGCAATTTACCTCTGTTTTTCTAAAGTTAATTTTTGACATAAATTACTGTAATGCAAACATTGTACTTTAGCATCTGATTATTTTGTGACTGAATAGGATCTTGAGAGAAAGAAGCGTAAAACTTGTAGATTAAGACTTTTATGTAGTGAGATGTTTTCTTGGGGTAACTAGAGGGTATTATTTAAATTGACTGCATTTAATGGCTTTTATTAATTTTTATCACTGCTTGCATTGGAAGAAAAAAATTTCCTTTTGTCTTTCTTTGCAGCTGTGCAAATCATTCCAGCATCAGTGCAGTCTGCTACACCAACTACCATTAAAGTTATAAATAGTAGTGCAAAGGCAGCTAAAGTACAAAGAGCTCCAAGGATTTCAGGAGAAGATAGAAGCTCACCTGGGAACAGAACAGGTACTTTTGCATTTTCTCCTATTTATAAAATTTGTCTAATTAAGTATATTTTATCTTATTTTACTGTATGAAAGTATGAATATGGAGATTTGAACCAAGGACTTATGTTTTTCCTTTGCCCTGGGTAAATCTATTAGACTATAGCCAATGCTTGTCCCTTTTAACCAATTTAGGAAACAATGGCCAAATCCAACTATGGCAGTTTTTGCTAGAACTTCTTACTGACAAGGATGCTCGAGACTGTATTTCTTGGGTTGGTGATGAAGGCGAATTTAAGCTAAATCAACCTGAACTGGTTGCACAAAAATGGGGACAACGTAAAAATAAGCCTACAATGAACTATGAGAAACTTAGTCGTGCATTAAGGTAAGCATTTCTTACTTTTTATAATATCAAGCCTTTCTAAAAAGTAACTTATTCTAGGTGTGAACATTGTTATGTAATGTTAAATACTTGTTTTTAAGGTGTTTTCTTTATATGTTAAAAAAAGCTAAAATTTTCATTTATGGTATGCTAAAAAAGACCTTTTTAGAAAGATTTTGATTTTTAAGTACATACACTTTAAAAAATTATTTTAAGATTATTTGTTTTTCTCTCATCTGAAAGCGTAATACTCTACTCAAAACCAATGTTTTTTAACCTTTGAGGTTTTTATCATTTGCATAGCAGATAAAGATTCTATTATTTGCATGGGTGAATTGAGTGAGTGTACATTTTTAATAGATAAACAGATACTGGCATCTGTTGTTACAATTAGATGCAAAAGATTGACCCATTTTCTACAATCTGCCTAAATCTAAATATCCAACCTTTATAGTGAAAAATTGGAATAGAATAAAATGATTTATAATTTCTCATAAGTAGTGTAAAATTTTTTGACATAAATTGCTATCATATATTATGCTTACTACAGTGATAGAAATTCAGTGGGTGCATTGAAGTATCTGAGAAGGAGAATATGTAGAAATATTGTGGAATTATGCCTGATATTTTTGGGAGAGTGAATATAGTAAAGTAGTCCTGCAATTCACCTGGGTTTTTCTAAATAACATACTTTTGCTGTTTCTTCATGTTTCACTTGGCCGTGTCTATGAATTTCACACTGAAAGATTATAGTTTAGTTCTCACCTATGCACCTATGCCTTACACATACCCTCCATCACCTCATCCCAATATAGTTATATGAAAATTTTGGTTAGGTTAGTATTCATTGTTACAGCATTTTGGCCTTGTAAGTTCTGTTACATTGTTTGCCATGATTAATTTTCTTTTCCTTGATGACCTGTTTTTTCCCGTAGAATTCATAAGTAACTAAAATATTTAGTTATGTGCTTGCTTATCACTTGGTCTCAAACACATTGCCAACTCTCTAAAACTCCTTTGTGTATAATCAGAATTAAAACTGCCATTTTTGAGAGTTGAAACAGATTGTGTATATACAAGTCCCCTCAAAATTACAGGTGAATTATTAGAATTAATAATAAAAGCCAGGCATGGTGGCTTACACCTATAATCCCAGCACATTGGGAGGTGGAGGCAAGAGGATGGCCTGAGCCCAGGAGTTCAAGACCAGTCTGGACTATGTGGGGAGAGCTCATCTCTACAATAATAAAAAATTAGTCAGGCATGGAGGCATTTGCCTATGGTTCCAACTACTTGGAAGGCTAAGGCAAAAGCATCACCTGAGCCCAGCAGGTCAAGGTTGAGGTGGCCATGAGCGTGCCACTGTACTCCAGCTTGGATGACAGAGTGAGACTCCAACTCAAAATAATAATAATAATGAAGATGTCACTTCTCCCCAAATTGATCTAAGTGTCGAGCCAAAATCTAAGTAAGATTTTTTTGTAGAACTTAAGATAATTGTAAAATATACATGGGATTACAAACTACCATGATTGTCAGGATACCTGAAGAATAGCAGAGTGGAGTAAAACTTGCTCCACAGAACATTGAGACAGACTTAAAAGCTAACATAATGGCACCCTGCTGTTTGCTGAAGGATAAATAGACCAAACAATAGGATAGAGAGCTAAAATAGAACCAAGAGCATACACATACTTGATTTAAAGAAGTGGCAGTGGGGAGAAGACATCGAAGGAAAAGACCTACTTTTCAATCAACAGTGCTAGAATAATTGATTGTTTATTTGTGGAAAAATTGAAACTTGACCTCTTCTTCATGCCATACCAAAAATCAGGTCCATGTAGCTTGCAGCTCTCAATGTAAAGAGAAAAATAGGAAAACATCTAGAGATACCTTTGTAACTTCTGGCAGTTGGGACAAGACATTTAAACAGAATCAAAAGAACTAATTCTAAAGGAAAAGGTCCGTAAATAGAGCTGTATTTAAATTAAGACCTTTATCAAAAAGCATCAGTGAGAGAGTGAAAGGCAAGCCTTCTGTGCCTGACATAAGACTCATACCTGGAATATCTAAAGAACTCTTACAAATAAATAGGGAAAACATTTTTGTTAATGGATAGGAGAGTTGAATAGACATTTCAGATGAGAGATTATCCAAATGGCCAAGAATGTATATAGAGATGTACAACCTCATTGGTATTTAGGATAGTGCAATTTAAAACCGTAATAAGATGGTACAGCATACCACCCCCCACCCCCCCACCCACCCCCTGGAATGGCTAAAATTAAGATTGCCAGTACTGGTTGATGGTGAGGTTATGTATGGAACAGTGGGAATGCTTCTGCCCTTTTGGCAGGAGTGTCAATTGTAACCTGTAACCCAGCAGTTGCTCCCTAAATGTAGGTATGTGTCCATACGCATGCTCATAACAACTTATTATAACATCCCAAACCCCAGAACCACCCAGCTATCTATCACTGGTGGAGTAAATACATCATTGTGGTACATTCATACAAGAGAATACTGAGTATCCATGAGAATGAACTCCTGCTACAATGACATGGATGAACCTCCCAAACATCATGTTCAGTGAAAGAATCCAGACCCAAAAAACTGATACTGTACGAGTACATTTATTTAGTAAAGTTTAAAGAATAGAAAAAGTAAATTACAGCATTTAGGGATGTATGTTTATGTGGTAAAGAAAAGCAGTGAAATTACTTCATAAAACAGGCTTGTGTTTATCTTTTAGAGTGGGGGTGGGAGTAATGACTGGAGCGATCATAGAGGGGATACCTGAGTGATACTCAACATGTGAATATTCACTTTGTAATTAGTCACTGAGCTGTCACTTTTGTGTCCTTTCTGTGTGTGTTCTATGTCACAATTAAAAAAACGTTTAAAAAAAATACGAGTTTCAAAAAAAAGGGAAGAAAAGAAATCATTCCTAAAAATGCAGGTATTGAGTATTGTTCTACTTCGTTTTAGGGAAAGAACAAATGCAGTGAATGTTTATGTACAGTTGTGTGATGCAGTGACTAAATTGAACGAAGTATTAAGTAAAATTAAAATTTATATGTATACCTTTTTTATCGCTTCTTACCAAGAAATATAAGTTTATACCAATTCTATTTTCCTCATAGAAATATAAAACCTTTCTTTATTTTCCTTTTTTTATAAGGGTTTATTTGCTACAGCTTTACATATTCATGTTGAATTTATTTTATTTTTTTATCTTTTACTTTTTAAATTTTTTATTTTATAGATGTGGGGTACAATTCAGGATTGAATTTATTTTAAAAGAAATTGAAGTGCTTATAGAATTTTAAACTGTATGACGAGGAATTGGTTTGTGACCTGAAATTCAAATTCTGTATTAATGTAATAGACACAAAAATAGACACAAGACCAATGTGTTATATCTTTTACTAAGAAATCAAACATAACTATTTTACTTTTGCTTTTCTGGAGTTAGGGAAGGATGGCACAATCTTCTGTATAGAGGTCAGTCTTTTCATTAATGGACTTTTGATTAAGCTGAGTGACTTTTATCCTGCTAAGTGTGGTGGTGTATATCACTAATACTTTTGCAAATAGTTGTTCCTTTTGTAACAACTTTTTGTCAATAGGCAGTACAATTTTAAAATAATAACTTTTGTCAATGGGCAGCACAATTTTAAAAGTCAAGCTCTGAAAAGAACTTGACTTTACTTTTATTTTTTAGGCTTTTTGTTTTTTTAATTGGGGTCTCAGTCTATGACCTAGGCTGAATTGCAGTGGCACAACCCCATCTTATTACAGTCTTGACCTCCTGGATTCAGGTGATCCTCTCATCTCAACCTCCCTGGGAGCTAAGGCTATAGGTACTACCACACCTGGCTAAGTTTTGCATTTTTTACAGAAACAAGATCTCCCTACGTTGCCAAGGCTGGTCTCGAACTCCTGGGCTCAAGCAGTCCTTCCGCCCCTGACTCTCAAAGTGCTGGCATGAGCCACTGCACCTAGCCTTGACTTACTTTGTGTTGTTGTTGTTGGAATTAGCAGTGCGTAGTGATAAATAAAGTCTGTTTTCCAAAGGAAATATAAATCCAACTCTATTTCCAACTCTGTGGAATGCAGTAGTAAACTAGACTTCTAGAATGATTTTCCCAAATCGGCTTATGTAGTTTTTGAATGTGTTTTCCTTATAATGTCCTTTTTCTGTTTTTCTGTATCTCTGTTTTTTCTAAACCTTTAACTTATACTTTTGAAGCTCCACATTACATTAGGCTTGGAAAATTCCTCTGAAATTTAGAAAGCCTTTTTACATAGTAAATGTTAAAAATGACATGGCTACATCATATAGGATTGTTTACGAGACATTTAGGAAGTAGATATTTCATAGACCATGTGTATTAAAATGTTTTCATATTATATGGATATTTATTAGCATAACTTATATTTATTTATTTTTTATTTATTTTTTTGAATTGGAGTCTCTGTCATCCAGACTGGAGTGCATTGGCCGCTTGCAGCCACTACAGCCTCGACCTGCTGGGCTCCGGCGATCTTTCCGCCTCAGCCTTCCAAGAGGCTGGAACTACAGGCACGTGCTACCACACCCGGCTAATTTTTGATTTATTGTAGAGATGAGGTCTCGCCAAGTTGCCCAGGCGGGTCTTGAACCCGCGGGCTCAGGCAATCCACTCACCTCAGTCTCCCAAAGCGTGGGTTTACAGGCTGAGCCACTGAGCCCGGCTATATTTCATAGAGGGCTATGTGCCAGTCACTGTGTGCTAAGCACTTTACAAAGATTATCCCTTTAATCCTCATCAATGCTGTGAGGGTAAGCACTGTTTTTAACCTCAATTTACAGATGAGGAATAAAAACTTTGAGCAAATGTGACTTTCCTGGTCTCCAAGATGCTAGGTTTTGAATCTTGGCTTTCTGACCGCAATGCTCTTGTTCTTATATTCTACTGCTACTCCCAAGGTTTTTTTGTTTTGCTTAATAATTATGTTTATTTTTAAATCAGTATTGTATCCTAATTGTTGAAAATATGTTTCAAGTGTTTTGGAATACTAAGGATTGGAATTTTAGTAAATAATGCTTTGATGTTTCCATAGATAGTAACCTTAAATATTCTATACTGCTTAAACGTTGATTGCTTTGTGGTGAATGCAATACTCTCTTAGGCTTCTACTTCTGAAATAGTTTGTAAAATATTGTTAAGTCTGAATTCCCATAGTCCCTAGTGTTTTTCTTTTTTTAAAGGTATTATTATGATGGGGACATGATTTGTAAAGTTCAAGGCAAGAGATTTGTGTACAAGTTTGTCTGTGACTTGAAGACTCTTATTGGATATAGTGCAGCAGAGTTGAACCGTTTGGTCACAGAATGTGAACAGAAGAAACTTGCAAAGATGCAACTCCATGGAATTGCCCAGCCAGTCACTGCAGTAGCCCTGGCCACTGCTTCTCTGCAGACGGAAAAGGATAATTGAGCCCCGGGACCTTTGGGACTCCAAAGTCTTTCTTCTATATTTAGAGCAAGTATGGCTCTTACCTTTATTACCGAATTTGAATCTTCTTTTATTTCTAGACTGTACAATCTGATGCATGATTTTTTTATGAATATTTCATACTCTTGTGAATTTGGATCTTTTTACTTTGAGCATATATTTTAGAATATGTATACGTTAAGGAGCACCACAGTGTCTGCAACTAATTAAGGCAGGTTCATTGTGGGATAGTTTGCTAACAGTCAGGAAAACTAAACTGGTCAGTATTAATGTCTAGCCCTACCAAAAATAGCCAGTAGTATCTGAAAATGAAAAATAAATGAAGTATCTCCAGGAAGCAGTCTGACTTAACTATTTTTGAAAATATAACTGTTTCCCCTCTCTGCTGCTTTAGATGTTGCTTTACATAGAACCAGAAAATGGAATTTCTCGGCTAAAGCATGTGTGCCTGTTTCATCTAATCAAGCAGAGCTAAAATGTTCATATCGAATAAAATTATAATAATACTAATAAATTACTAGACTAAGTATCAGGTTATTAAAGTAATTTATATATTTGCAAGCAGAGGATGATAAGAAGTTGACTGGCAAAAGAGCAGTGCTGAAGAAGGAGATCCAGGTTTAAATCTGGCTTAGCTCAAGTCAATTTTAAGGATTTTCTGTATAGATTATTCATATCAGACCAGAACTAAAATTATTTTGAGAGAGGCATTTAATTCTGATAAACCAGCTATTATGAAAAATTCTAAAATGATCTCTGTTTTTCCTGTCAGAGATTTTAAAAACTGAAACGGTATACCTCAGCCAGAAAATAAAAGTTGGGTTTAGTTTGGTATGGCTTCCTTTTTTTTTTTTTTTTTTTTAAAGTACCAATAGTGCTGGTTAATTATGCAAAGCAGCTTATGTATTCCTGTGTTTCTGGTGAAATGAAGACTTTAAATCAGTCAGCAGTACTTTACCTTTCAAGACATTAGTAAATTACTTGGAAATAGTTTTAAGAGGAAAACGTTACCTCCATTATAAGCAGTGTTCTCTTTAAAACAATACTTTCCATTTATTTAAATTTTTTCTTATGAATATTTTATGTGTATGTATACAAATATCTATATACATGTTCAATTGACCATTTTATATATACATACACATGTATATAGAGACATAAAGATACTCAGAAGAAAAATTATTAAATAACTTATTCTAAAAATTCAAAGTTAACTAATTCTTACATATATGAAATTTCTTACATAAGCTAACATTAAACAGAAATGGCTAGAAATGTCTTTTTCTTTCTTTCTTTGTGTTATTTTATAGTTTTAAGCATGAATCATGATATGAGACACTAGCAATTAGCTTTAATCCTCTTATATATTTGAGAAGGATGATTTTCAAATATTTATGCACCTTCTCCATTATTTCCTTTAAGGCCGTCACCCAAAACAGCTTTTTAAGAGTTCGGTTAATGCTTTTGACTTAACTAGGAAAAAAAGGCCATGGTGATACAGACAAGGTGGCATTGTAAGCAATTCCTGCTACCAGTCCTAAATAGTGGTTTGGCGTAAATCATAGGAAGCAGGCATCTTAGGGTCAAGAAAGAGAGGAGAGAGGGGAGGAATCTTTGATCCCCTTTTTTTGGTAACCTTAAATCATAATTTTAAGTACTGTACTATAGGACTACAATGGTACTCTCAGTTCATTTATATTATTTAGTCCTTTAAGATTCTGCAGTAGATATCTAAAAAGAGTAAAATTTGTACTTCTATTTTTACTTTTTTACAAACATAGAAAATATTACAAATTATTAGTAAAATTTGGGCGTTGTGATTGCAAGAATATCTGAATATATAGAGCTCTGCCTTCAGATAAAAAATAGCGTAAAAGGTTTTTGCACTATCCTCCTATGGTCTAGCAAGTTGAAAAGTCACTTATAACATTAAAAAAAAAATAAAGTAGGTATATCTTCTGGTATATCATCAAGAGCTTAAGAATCTTGGTTTTCAGATTTAAAATGCTTTTGGGAAGACATATATTAAAATTCTAGTCAAGATGATAGACTTTCTTTATATTTCAATTATATGTGTGTGTGTGTGTGTGTTTTTTAAGACTAGGACCACACTCTTTTAGATCCCTAAAATCAAACTTATTTTTATCCTTTCAGCATTGCCCAGATTCTTTTTTTTTTTTTTTTTTAAACACATTTATTTTCTTTGGCAATATTCCTCATCATAATTTGAACAGAGACGGTTCTCATACATAATCAGGTGCTTTTTCTTTTTTATTTTTCACCTTTCTCTTATCATTTTAGGCACCACAACATAGGTAATGTGACTAATTTCTCCAGTTGATTCTAGAAAAATTCATTACTTTGTTTCAACTTACATATAAAATATTTGTATTGCCCTTATTGGGGTCACAGTTATCGGAAAGTCAGTTTGTTTTTTCTTCTATTAAAAAAATAACTTGTGTTGGTAAAAGAAAATATAATTTATGCTTTCATTATTTGCTTTGTTTTTATTAATGATTTTTTCATAGGAGACTTTAAAATACACTCAAAGGAAGAAAGATAAAATTATTGGTCATTGTACCTTATAAGTACAAGAATAATGAAATGTTCACTTTTGTTTTAAAACTTGTTTTTCATGTGAAGTTTTTGTTGAGCCAACTTTCACACATAACTTGCTAGCCTGAAGTCTGAAAATGTGTGTTAGTATCAGAAAATCAAACAAATTAGGCAGAATTGCTATATGTGGTTGATCTTCACGTGAATCAACTGATCACATTCATTTATGTATTAATCTATACCAATTATTTAGGAAAAATGGTTTCATTTTCTTTCCTAATAGCGATACTCAAGTATGATATTCCTTGAAAGGGCTGTACCACCAGCTATTTTTGTGAGATCTGATGTTTTCCATATTCATCATTTTATGCTACTGCCTTTTAAAAATGACTAGTGTATCTTTGAAATAGCACAAAAAAGGTTTTAAAATTCATAATTGCAAAACAAACCTGTTACTAACTTGATGTCTTCAGATGTAAAGGATGTAAAAATATTGATACTTCAATATTTTCAATATTTCGCTTGCTGCCAGGAAAAAAAAACACTCTCAATCTTTTGTAAAAGGGAGGAAGAATTTTGCATACATTTTTACTCTTTAAATAAAGACACTTATACTGTCATAATAACAATTATGTATTTCTTTGTGGTTTTTATTTTTTTGTAATTTTACATAAAACAGTTATTTTCTATTTTTACTCAGATAAAAATATTTGTGCATAAAATGTAAAAACAGTAAAATGAGAAAAATAAAACTATTATGCAATATGTCTCTGTTGCTTAAAGTTATTGTTATTTTTTTTTTCTGAAAACGAAATCTCAAATTTTCAGGATACTTGGTGGGATAGAAATCTAACAGTCCACATATGATGTACAGTATTCCTATGTATTTACTGAAAACTATCAATTTGGACCCTGGGCAACATAGGAAGACTTTGCCTCTACAAAAAAATTAAAAAAAATTAGATGTGGTAGCATGTGCATGTAGTCCCAGCTACTTGAGCGGCTAAGGTGGGAGGATCACTTGATTCCAGGAATTTGAACCTGTGGTAAGCCGTGATAATGCCACTGCACTCTAGCCTAGGCAAAAGAATGAGACCAATCAATCAGGGAAGAACAGACACCACTGAATTAGAGTTAGTAGAGGCTAGTCTCTTTTATAAAATAAATAAAATTCCATCTACAAAGCCAAATTGTTTTAGAATTGTAGCAGATGAAGTGGTAATCCTGAGTACTTGTCAAAAGGCAAGCTGATGATTGTTAATCTGTAAATCCTTAGTAAGCCTTTAAAAAAAAAAACTGAAGATAAAACAAATCACCTATTCATATTAGCTGAGTATCAGCAGAATGCTTATACCAGAACCAGATAATAAAGGAATGAAAGGAGTTAGAGAAAAATGTGATTTGTGCCTTTGTTTATGGTCAAGCAAATGATCAGACTTTGACATCCTTAAATATGAAATTATGATTTGAGTGAAATAAATTACTTAAAAAATGCATGATCTAATTGTCATCTAGTTTGAAGTGATGGAAATAGGATACTAGTAAGTATATTTGTTCTCCCAAGACTTCGGTTTTTTTGTGTATGGCTTTAAAGTTTAATTTGCAAGCCAAGCACATGTTAAAAATGCTTTTTTATTAATAACTGACAGCTTTAAAGCATTGATTTTAAAACTTACTGTAGAGGACCACTTTTTATTTTCAGTCTGTCACAAGCAAACATTTGTAAAATAAATGAATTTGTAGCAGGGTGGAGGATATGGGGAATTAATGTTTAATGGGTATAGAGTGAGTTTTACAAGATGAAAAACTGGCAATTACACAATGGTGAATAGTTAATACTGAACTGTATTTAAAAATGGTCAAGATAGTACATGTTATGTGTATTTTACCACAATTGATTTATTTAATGAATTACTAAAACAATTTGAAAAATCAATTTGCCAAATTGACAATATAAGGGGAGGACATGATCAATCCAATAGATGCAGAAAAGTATATAATAAAATTTAACATTTATTCATGCTAAAAACTCAGCAAGCTAGAATTAGAAGTGAACTTTCTTAACCTGATAAAAAGTATCTGTGGAAAAATCTATAGCTAACATCATACCTCCCACTCTCCCAAGATTTGAGAACAGGCAAAGAGATGTCTGCTCTTACCATTTTTATTCAACATTGTATAGAAAATCCTAGCCTATGAAATAAGAAAAGAAAAGCGTGCACATTGTAAGAGATAAAACTCTTTTCAGGAAACATACATGTTGAAAATCCTAAAGAATCAATTTAAAAGCTATGAGAATAAGTTTAGTAAGGTAAGATACAAAGTCAACATACAGAATTCAATTTTTTTTTTTTGAGTTCGAGTCTCACTCTGTCGTCCAGGCTGGAGTGCAGTGGCACACTCACAGCGGCCGCAGCCTCGACCTGCTGGACTCAGATGATCCTTCCACCTCGACCTTCCAAGTGGCTGGAACTACAGGTGCGCGCCACCATGCCCAGCTACCTTTTTGATTTATTGCAAAGATGAGATTTTGATTTATTGCAAAGATGAGATCTCACCAACTTGCCCAGTCTAGTCTTGACCCCGAGAACTCCCAGAGTGCTGAGATTATAGTCGTGAGCCACCACGCCTGACCAGAATTCAATTTCTACATGCTACAAATAAGTTGGAAATTGAAATTTTAAAATCGCATTTACGATAGTATTAGCATGAAATAATTAGTGATGAGTACAACAATTTGTACAAAACCTAACTATTGAAACTCACAACTTTTTAGGAAATGAAAGAAAATCAAAGTGGAGTGACATACTGTATTTGTGGACTGGAAGATTCAATTTTGTAAATGTGAATTTTGTAATGTTAATTATCCCTGAATTGGTCTACAAATAGTTCAGTTTCTATAAAAATTCTGGCAATCGTTTTTGGTAGACAAGCTAATTATAGAATTATATGTAAATGCAAATGACCAGTAATAGCCACAAGCTAATTATAGAATTATATGTAAATGCAAATGACCAGTAATAGCCAAAACATTTTGAAAAAGGAAACCAATTAGAGAATTTGCACTATGTATATAAAGCTTTGCTATAGAGCTACAGTAGTCAAGATGTGGTATTCAGATTAGGATACTCATATAGATCAATGAACAGAATTCAGAAATGGACCTACATATTTATGGCTTACTGATTTTTGACAATGATGCCAAGGTAATTCAATTAGGGAAAGGATAGTCATTTCAACAAGTGTTAGAACCACTGGATATATGAAGAAAAGGGAACCTCAACCCTAACCTACAACACATAAAAACTAAAAATGGATTGTAGACCTAAACTTAAAAGCTAAAACTATAAAACATAAAACAGGAGAAAATGTTCATAACTGGCTAAATAAAGATTTCTTAGATATTACAAAAAACTGGCCAGGTGTGGTGTCTCAAGCCTGTAATCCTAGCAGTTTTGGAGGTCAAGATGGGAGAGCCCAGGGATTTGAGACCAGCCTGGGCAATATAATGAGACCTCGTCACTACAGAAACAAAAAATTAAATTAAAAAATAAAACGAAAACTTTTAAAAAGAAAAATATACTAGTTCATTAAAATTTTTAAAAACCACTTTTTCGAAAAATAATATTTAAAAAGCAAGGCACACAAGGAGAAAATATTTACAATATACATGTTACAAAAGTAATAATACCAAAAATTTATAGGGAGCTCTTTTAATTCATCAAGACAATCCAATAATATATTGTTCTAGCTTTGCCTCTAACTAGATATGAAATTTAGGGCAAGTTGTTTACCTCTCTTCTCTATTTCTTCTTTTCTAAGCTAATATTGTTGACACATTTGACTACAGCGCAGGGCTATTGAGAAAATTAAAGGAATTTATGTAAAAACATCTTGCAACTATATAACTGTATACCACTAAATAAGCACAAAGGTCTGAGAAAGTAAAACTGCCTCCAAAAAATCCAATTTTCTATAGTTGAAGTTGGTGCTCATCTCATTTAATAAGAAAAAGATATAATACTGTAAAAAGTGTGTTTAAATGGCTGAATGAGTGACTTTATGAATATTGGCTAACTCTGCCCTCCTACAATGTGTCAAACCCTTTATTTGCCATAGCATTTATTTCTCTTAACTCTTTGAAGTAAATGAGAGAACTGTCCGTTTTATAAATGGAGACATTAAGGCATAAAGATATTAGACAACTTGGACAAGTTCACTTTTATAAGGCCAAGCTAGACTTGAAGTCAGGACTGTTCCTTCTCATTAGGGGTAAGTCTGTCTCCACAGAAGATTACTGTAACGCCTACAGGCAGTGAAAGGGAGACACGTTTAATATGTCTAGCAAATGAGAATTGCAAACATTGGGTATCCTCCTCATTTCTTCTGGCTTTTATTTGTGTTATCCAAAGTGAGAAGCTTAAACTAAATTTTACTTTAAGCCCATGCATCTCTACTAAGTTAAAAAAATTTTATAAAATACCATGCAAAACCCTTAGTAAAATAATGGCTTTAGGCAATCATCACCAACAGCTACCAAAATGATTAGGTGAAAAGCTGGTGAGACACTTTATACAGGAGTCCGGATACACCAAACAACCTTAATGTCACAAGAAGAGAGACAACCAGATGATCATGTGCCTGCCAGTGTGAAACACTGGGAGCATTCTTGCTAGAAAATAAACTAGACCTGAATCTGATGAATCTCCCAGGTGTAAGTACCAGTTTATAGGAGATATAGGAGACAGAAAAACTCATTTGCAAGGATATGCTCAGAAAACATAGGAATGAAAATAACACAAATACAAGAAAAAAATCGATTACAAGAAAAAAACAGGAAGAGAAATGTGTAGATTAAAAATTGCCATCCATAAAATATTACAAAGGAAGCAAGTTCAGGTGTTATACCCCAGGAGGCTAGATGTTTACTTCATAGTCCACTCCCCTCCAGGATGAATTATTAATATGGTTGGACATTCTTACTTGGGCCAACAGCATTTTTAATTTAATTCTATCTGTGATAGAGTACTGAAAAATTTATAATTGAAAGTCTTTTTTAACCCTGGAAGTTGACTCCATCATAAGAAAACTACCTACAAAAAAAAAAGCCCTGACCAGATGACTTTCCAGCGGAATTCTACAAAACATAAACGGAGGAACTGATACCAAGCTAATTCAAAGTATTCCAGGCAACTGAGAAAGACAGAGTTCTCCCCAAATCATTTTATGAAGCTAACATCACACTGATACCCAAACCGGGTACAGATCCAACAAAAAAGAACTATAGACCAATATCCTTCATGAACATAGATGCAAAAATTCTCAACAAGATTCTAGCAAATCATATCCAACAACACATCTCAAAAACCATCCACCATGACCAAGTAGGCTTCATCCCCGGGATGTAGGGCTGGTTCAACATCTGCAAGACTGTAAATGTAATTAAATACATCAACAGATGTAAAAACAAGAACCACATAATTATATCATTAGATGCAGAAAAAGCTTTTGATAAAATCTGGCATCTCTTCTTGATAAAAAACTTCAAACACCTAGGCATAGATGGAACATACCTCAAAATAGTAAGCAACATCTATGATAAACCCACAGCCAACATGTTGTTAAATGGACAAAAACTAAAAGCATTTCTCCTGAAAACCGGAGCAAGACAAGGCTGCTCACTCTCTCCCCTCCTTTTCAACATTGTGTTGGAAGTCCAAGAGAAGGACTTAGGGGTATCCAAATAGGAAAAGAAGTTATCC